AATAATAATAGCTAACTATTTTTTTCCTGACCAAATGTGACCAAATCGGTTATAAAAATGCTGTCATTATAAAAGGTTTCTTCAACGTATTGCTTGTTATTTTTCTGTTTATTACATTTCATGTTTTGACACTTCCAGGGGAGTCACTAGGGTTTTCATTTTAGGGGGGCTAAGCCCCAAATGAGGGTATGATTTTTTTTTATAATAAAAAAAGGTAACACATTTTAGTTTATGATCAAATGCTCACTATTAACCAGTTTCATTACCATGCAAAGGTAGGGTTTTATAATCACTGTGATGTGAGGTAAGTTGTTCAGGGTTTCCCCGAGAAAATTTTGATTTCTCAAATCTACATGCCTTGTAGGACATTTTGAAGGCATCACCCTCTTTTTCTCTTTGTTTTTATCTTGCCCTGCCTCTTCCCCTCCTAAATCTGAGCTTTGACTGATATAGGCTTTTCATTTTTGTCTGTCAGTGAAGAAAGTAAACATAGGGTCAACTAATAGGTTGATTTTGCCTATAAATCATTTTTATCAGACTCGTTTATTTACTAAATGCTACTCAAGCTAGGCAATTAAGTTTATTAAATGCATTCACAATATGTACTGTAGGCTACACAGTCATTATTGATCTTATGCTAATACAGGACCGTAGACAGGGCTTTATCATCAAAGAGGTCCTAAATTTGAGGTTGGTATAGGGGCTTCACATTTTTATTTCTCTTATATGTGCATTTCAAGACGTTTGAACACCAAAAAAAAAAAAAGGATAAGAAATAGCTTTAAAACCATGTCAATACCTGCTCTCTCCTCATCTCCATCACTCTTTCTTTTTTTCTCAGTCTCTTTATCCCTTTCTCTCCCCCTCCGAAGGCTGAGCTTTTTTAATGTACTATAAGGCTACAATTTGTAGGCTATGATATTCTCAATACATGCATTATTACTCTTGTGCCTAAAATGATGAAACCGGCTTTGTTAACGTTTCTTGTCCCCTCACAATGAAGCGGCAAGAGCTTCTTTGACGCTCAAGTCGGTGGCGGTGTGAACGTACAGTGAAGGCTTCCTCAGCGCTTGTGCACAGTGATATGAACAGCAATGATGGCGTCAGTTTTATTGGATCAATCTTATCCTTTGGAAGTGCATACACATGGATTTTCAAGTGCAGAAAACAGCATTCTTGAGATGTTGACAACGCAAACCAAACTCTTTCAGGCCTCAGCTACAGTGTTTGAGAGTGGGTCAAAGTAGATGCCGTTCACTGTCAGCGTCATTATGCAAATTAGTTACAAACCTATAGGTCTGTAACCAGTAAGTAAGACTGGAATTACTGACTCATTTCAGGCAGTTCAGAATCAGTTCTTTTATTTGACACATGCCTTTGGTGTGAGATACCCGGGTTCGAACCCACTGCGAGACACCAATGTGTCCCTGAGCAAGACACTCCAGACGACCTCTGACATATATAGTAAGATGCTTTGGATAAAAGTGTCAGATACTTACAGTTTAGTGGTCATTAAAGAGATTTCAAAGCTGAAAGCTTCAATAAGAATGAAGTATTTCAGAGATTATGTTAAATAATTGGTTACTATATATAGAACTACATATCAGTCTTCACTAAGCCATTTTATGGAGCTTTAAGGAAGTTGTCATGGAGGATTTGGGTTTTGCCATCACTAAAGGATTAAAAGTAATTTTCGCAAACAAACATTATTAAAGGCTTTTAAGGGAAGAAAGCAGTGTCATCTTTCATTCTAAAAAAAAAAGCTTTCATAAAAATGTCTGTCTTCCTTACAAGTTCAACATCCTTTTTTAAATTCCAGATCTTAACGTTTGAGTCTTCAGACTTGTGCTTCCTCAGGGAATACCCAGCCTTTTGGCTAACGTGATGAAGAAAAGCTTTAATTCATCCTCACAGAGGAACATTAATTATCTTGGCTAATGATCACAACTTATATGGAGTTAAATCCTAAGACTGGGATCCATTCTCCTTTTTCTCCACTTCCTATTTCTATCTTGGCTAAGTCCCCGCCCCCTTTTTTTTTTTGGGGGGGGGGGGGGAGGGAGAGACAATGATTAGAGAGCAAAGCAAGCCAGATTTGTCCCTTTATTCCTGTGCCAGGAATAACAGGGCCATGTGCTCATATCTAAAAATGGCTAGACAGCTATTCAATGATGGGGACAATTTTTCATGGTGTTTTGCCACATCAGAATTGGGCTATTTAGTTTCTTTTTTAAGCAAAGAAAATGAAATTATGTGCAATTATTGGGTTTGGATGACACTCAAAGCGGAATACAACTTCATATCGGTAAATTGACACTGAAACATATTTATGCAACAGTGATTTTTTTGTGTTTGAATTTACTTTGAAACTATTTTAACTAGTAAATTTCACATATAATTACAACGAAACGTATAAATTAAACCTTGAGACATTTTAATGTTGAAAAAACTGAAATAGTATTTTCTTGTAATATGTGCTAATCTGTTAGTTTACTTTAATTTCCTGAGGAAATATCTTCAATGATAACTGAATTTCATCATATGAAGAGAACACAAATAACTTTGGTTAAACATTCCTTCTGGGTTTGGTAAATAAATAAATGCTCAGTAAGCAACGTTTTACTTCATTTACTGAGAAATACATGGTCCGCTAGAGACTTGTGGATTGTGTGTGTGAGTGTGTGTGTGCGACCAAAATGGCCCCACGAGGACGGTAAAGCCATAAATTGCCAATATTGATGTTAGGGTTAGTGGTAGTGCCTATACACAGAAATCACAGTAATCTCTGAATAATAATGCAGAAAAGAGTCATTAGATCAGTATAAAAACCACAGAACACAAAAAATCCAAGTGAGACAGAAAAAAAACAATATGTGTGTGTCAGAACATGTTACTACAGAACAAAATGAAACCATTTTAAGTGTTAATGCATTAAATAACAATGAGCAATTTTTTGCAGTATTTATTAATATTAGTTAATGTTAGATAATACAAATACAACTATTAATTTTTAGTTTTTTAGAACAACTTTTGTTCAAACTGAAGGGATGCATGACTGCGTTTTAAAGGCATTGGACTGCATGTCCAAGAATCGGTTGCATAAGAAGTTGAATTGATTCAGGCTGTTCTTATTTGTTCTTAAAATAATGGTATGTTTTTGTTTTTTTTGGAATCCTCCAGCTTTGGAAAGAAAACCAGTAATATTTCAGTCAAATATCTTCTCTGAATGTGATATGTGTTGTGACAGAACACAGTAAGAGCCCTGAGGCGGTACATACACACTGCACATCCTAATAAATCAGCACTCAAACTGGCTGCTGATAATCTGAGGTAATGTCAACACTGTGGAGTGGATCCAGAGGTTTAGTAGCTATTCCTGGTATCTTTCTGTCTGTCTATCAGAGAAATACCCCCACTGTGATCTAAAGAGAGGTGTTGAGCGCAAACATTCTGTTACACTGGAGACAAACTGGCTCTCAGCAAGGGTTTTACATTGCTCTTTCTCACCCCTCTCTGCTTTACTGCCATTGCATTTTCTGTTGCATTTTCTGCTGCATTTTCAAGTGCTAATAGAGTAGAGAATACAGTAGCTGAACTGTTAGCATGTTATTGGTATGTCATGTTGGCAGAGATGGTTTGACCTACAGCTACATAAAAAATGTTACATGGCACTGAGGGCTAATGAAATCCGTTTTGACATGCCAGTGATGTACAGTAGGTTAACAGCCAGAGTCTAGCTTTGATACATCATACTCGGGGAACACAATTTACACATGCCAAGAGCCAAATGAGACAATAAATTGACTTTGGCAAGTAAATAAAATTGAGTTACTCAGCAATGGCTGGTAATGTAAGGAACTGCAACATAATATATGACTGTATAAATTATAATTTACCCTGTGTAATGTACGTGACACGGGTGATTCAAATCAAGGATATATGAAGTGTCTACTAAATCTATCATATAGGATCTGTCTACTGAAGTGGAAAATAGAAGTTGATCGAGAATGCCTAGTAGTTTGTTTGTTTGTTTGTTTTTTCAATCCAGAACTGCATGTGACATCTAATATTCCCAGCATGGATCTCCCAAATGAGGAACAAATGGAATTATTTAGATGTTTTTTCTTCGTTTTCTTCCTTTTCCCTAGTCAAATGTATGGATGCATACCCATAGATGTATGGATGGATGGATGTATTGATGGATGTATGAGTAGATAGATAGATAGATATATAGATAGATAGATAGATAGATATATAGATAGATAGATAGATAGATAGATAGATAGATAGATAGATAGATAGATAGATAGATAGATAGATAGATAGATATATAGATAGATAGATGACACACTCTCAGAAAAAAAGGTACAAAAGCTGTCACTGGGGCTGTACCCTTTCAAAAGATACACTTTTGTACCTAAAGGCTGCATATTGGTACCTTAATGGTACATATTAGCACCTAAAATGTACTTATTAACACCTAAAATGTACATAATGTACATATTAGCACCTGAAATGTACATATTAGCACCTAAAATTTACATATTAGCACCTGAAATGTATATATTAGCACCTGAAATGGACATATTCACACCTAAAATGTACTTATATTAGCACCTAAAATCGACAAAAGTTTACCTTTTGAAAAGGTACGGCCACAGTGACAGCTTTTGTACCTTTTTTTCTGAGAGTGTAGATAGATAGATATAGGATAGGTAAAATATGGACAAACCAAAATGTTGGGTTAAAAATATAATTTCAAATGTTAACCCAACTTAAAACTTTCACTTTTAACTGTACATTTTTTAATTGCATTTTTAACCCAACATTTGGGTTTGTCCATATTTTACCCAAATTTGGGTTAAGACAACCCAGCATATTTTAGAGTATAGATAGATAGATAAATAGATAGATAGATATATTTGTAGAATGTTTTTGTCAAAGTTCTCAGTGTGTTGCATTCTCAGACAGTTTTTTATTATCTTTTTGTGTGTTTACAGATAAAGCCGGGATTTGAGAACATGGGTTGGCAAGAGACCCTATGGCTTTTGACATCATTTATCTTGGTGAGTGGACCATAACATCGCATTCATTGTTTGTTTAAATGTAATGCATTTTTATTATACACACTCATAGTGAAATTAGCCTAAAACACATTCTCGTTATTCGAATTCGTCATTTTCCCCATTTGAACTTGCAATTGCTAAAGCGTGCAACTTTTCCTGGTCACTAAATCTGAGTTGTTTTTTTGTGAACTGTCATCAGATGATTTTCTCCTGATTTCCCCCACCCCCACTATCCACTAGAAAAAAGAAAAAAAAAACATTACTCACTAATTGCTCCAGTTTGGTAATTACAAGCGGAGGTGACCTGAAAACCTGCAGAACTCTTGAGGCATGAAATGGTGGCTCCATCAATGCTGGTATCAGAGCAGCTGGCTCCATGTCAGAATGATAAAATGGGAGCATATGAAGCCCTCTGCATGTAGTACATTAGCACTATAGTATCACCGCAACTCACAAACAAGCCAATAGCCTACTTTGCTAATTGTATGTGCGCACTAATATAATAAGTCCTCTCTGTTTAAGTTTGACCTTGAAGTAGCTTTCCCATGCCTGTGAATTAATCTAACTTAGTGGAAAAGTAATGAGCTTGCAGAATGGCATGTAACATTTAAAAGTATAATGGGGAATGGCATGTAATTAAAGCTAGACTGAAGAGCAAAAACTGAGAGCAAGAATGTCGATTGGTATTAATAAGTGTAAAAAAAAATGGGTCTACTTATTTTCTGTAGGACTTTAAAGATACAATTGTAGTTTTTGAAACATGACCTTATTCGTTCTTGACATCCAGTTTCCATTGAAGGACAAATGGTTTTCCTGACTGACTTGGGTGGTGGCCTGGTGGTCGTATGTATGACGTCATTTACTTCAAAGTTTGGAGTGACATCATATGTACGGCTGCTAAACTGCTACATGGGACATCAGAAACCTCACAGATGAGTTTGGTGTTGTAAATGCGTTATTGCGCGCAGGTAAGACAGACGCACAGCACTAAAGAAGCTGCCACAGACTTTTCTCAGTTTGTTTAACGGCAGTAATGAGAAGCTGGGTTTGAGAGGATCTGCCAAAGTAAAAATCTCTGCACAAAAGCATCAAAGTTTCAGTCGTAAATGAATGTAGAATTTATTAATGTGAGGTGTCTGAAAGGGGAAAAAGGGTAAAGTACTTTTGAATTGTCTCTTTGACTTCCCATTGAACTATAAGATGACTCATACCAGCGATACAATGGTTAGAGATGCGCTTTGAATTTTGATAATAAGCCTGTCTTTGTGGGTAAAGCTTTCCCCCTTTTATTCTTCTAGAAAAGCATTAAATTCTGTGAAGGATTTCTTATCTTTTTACAATACTGATATGAGCAGAGGAATGTGTCTGCCGGTTCTCTTGTGTAAAATCATACCGTTTCAAATGTCAAGTGCCCATGTGATGTCCTCAGAACTGCATTTGAGGTTGCAGGGGTGACATAGTGGTGCTTATGGTGTTTCTGCTGTGGAAGGTTGTGTGTCATTCAGAAATGAATACAGAAAATCCCAGTCTAATTCCAGAGTTTGAATTGAGGTAGCAAACAGTGCAGACTTGTAAGGAAGACGGAATAAACATAAGAGTGTATAGGTGCACAGTAGTGGCCAAAAGTGACCTCTGGAGGGTATATTTGTTTTTAATGACCCTACAAGTTTGATTAAACCATCAAAATATGAGTAAAAATATTATATATATACTGTTTTAAATATTTTACATATAAGGGAAGAACGTTTAGTGATTTATCTGACAAAGTTATTTGGCAAAAAAGGCTATAGGATAGATTTTATTATGCAATAATAAGCTGACTACAAAATAATCATTTATTAAAATTTCGTTGATTCTCTCTTGTTTGTGCATTTCTTTGTATGACGGCCAGGCCAAAAATTGTCACAAAATTTGACGTTTCATCACGTTATCATGAATAAAACAATTGACTCGAAAGACGACTATGCAAAATCTTTAACAATTTTTTTTTATAACATTTTGAATAAAGACTGGACATCACTTTTGGTATATTATACATTTTAGTAATTACCCATAAACATATTAGATAATAGCAGTGTTTGAAATTTCAGTTAGCCATTTGTATTTAATTTATAATTCCTTAAAATTTTATTAATTACCTTATTTTATGCACCAGTGTTGAAGAACACATAATTTCCCAAGAAACCTCAAATGATGTTTACATTTCATAAAACTGAAATCTGAAATCAATGTGTTTTTGCTCTAATTTTATTCGATTCGATTTTTTTTTTTGCATATCAGGGAATAAATGGGCAAAATGTATGTATCTATCTATATTTAGTGAAAAAAGTTAGTTATGTAATTGTTCATGTTTTGTTCCAAACCTTATGTGACTATGTGAATATATTTCAATTGCAATTCAGTAACGTCCTACGTCCACTTCATGCCATTCTCATTTAAATTCCACTTTAATATCCCACATCCTGTGGGGTGTGTCCGATTCGACTTAAATTCCAACTCGTGAACGGGAACCAATTCTTAAATATTGAATTTTCAACCTTGCTTCTGTGGTCAAGTGCATCTCTCTTTGCAGAATGTAACAAAGGCTGGAACAACTGAGACAAAAACAGAGCCTAGCGCTGATTTATCCCTTACTCCTGTCATGATGGCAGTGGATGGAGAGAGACTGATCATGACTCAGTCTCAGTACAAATGTCTGGAACTTCTGAGCCGAGATGGATCCCATAATAAAACAGGTAGGTTTATTTTCAATTCATTTTCATTTGAATGACAGCCTTGTTAAAGTCAAAGACTATTAGTGGATCACTTCATGGCTGATCAGGGAAACAATAAAGGTTCTTCTCAAAAGGTGAAATGTGATAAAATACTTCCTCCCAGTTTTTTTTTTTTTTACTTTTTCAACTGTCTTTAATGCATTTTGAGCATAAATAAATATCTGTAAAGCACAAAGTCACTCCAAATGGAGCTATTCACTATATCAGTGTCACTGATTCTGAACTCCCTGAAACGCCTCCATTGTAGTCTTGAGTTTACTTCAAGAAACAAACATGACTCAATATTCCTCATTTAAATAATTCCTGCCCAAGGCAATCGCATAGGCCTGATGAGTTAGTTAGTACTGTGTTGTTGCCACACCCATGTCTTATGATGTTATGGTAAGGAGCGGGAGATTTCCAAAACACGCTTGAAACGGTTGACCAATCATATTACACTGGTCCAGTCAATCTATTAGAGCACAGAAGGAGGGGCTTCATAAAAACAGGAACTAAACAGGGGTGCGTTTCCCAGACAACGACGTAGTTCACTGCTTCACTACCATAGTACGATGCATCGTTGGAGAAATCAACTAGCTAGTCATGACAGTTTCCTGAAACTCATTGTTGCAAAGTATCGTTCAACCACGTTGGTTTCGCACGTGGTGGAGTAAAATTACTTTTAATGAAACTGTTTGAGATCCAATTAACGTTAGATTTTTTAATATAATTTACAAACATGTCATCGGAGGACTATTTCTAAATGTTCTCAGTTATTTCGCTTTATTACCAGACTCAATATTTCGCTCGTTCTTACATAGCACGTTCGCACATGCGCACTCTTCAAACACGTTACTTAAAATCTTTTAACAAACTAAAAGACGTAAATAATATTTGTATGTATTCTAAATAAAAGGCACCGGTTGTACTGAATGTCAGGAAAGATAAGGATTTATTACCTCCAAATGTGATGCAATATAGAAACGATGCCTCTAACCACAGGTCGAGAGCTGTCGTTCAAACCACACAACTTTGCGATGCTGTTTGCAAATGTTCATTAGAACGATGGTTTCGGGAAACACCGACTCGTTGAACTATGCTGATAACGACGAAACTTGCGACCAGAGTTGGCTAACGATGCTTTCCCAGAACGTTACTGACAGACTGGGAAGAGAGGAGCTGCAACAATTTGAAAATAATGGGCCTATCTCAATATGTGTTCTTGTCTGTGCTGTTTTTGTGAAATGTCATCTTTTGTGGCCCAAGTACTGTCCCAATACACAAGTTTGCATTTTGGCAGGTTAAAAATCCCAGAAGTGTTCTTGACACACCCATTTTACCAAGGATGCATCGGTTGGTAACTTGACGGCAGAAATATCCCAGCATTTATTTCGGCATTCGAGGAAGGAGAGGCAGGTCATTACAGTAATTAGTTTTTCCACAATTTTGTTTTGCTAATTCACTTCTGAGAACATTGGATGTGAGACAACATCTGTGTAGATTTCAAATATCGGCATTTTATGGAAATTTATGGTGAATCGTTAACGTTTTCAGAAGTGAGAATCTCCATAGATTTACTCACAGACTGGTTCTACCCCACAGTCAAGAGGCCATTGCAGCCTGGCTGTTATCGTCAATAATTCTCGTTATGTTTGGGTACTGCCGACGGCGTCTGTGCGGGGGTATTGTTGCACAATACCAGCAAGAACACATTGTCTCAAACTGTCAGCAGCATTCTGTGTGCTCGTCACCTTGTGAGTTCACTGTGTTCACCGTGCATTAACAAATACAACTTTTGATTTGAATAATGTATTAGTTAATGTTGAAATTAAAATGAACAAAAAATAATAAATGCTGTAGAAGTGCAGTTCATTATTAGATCATGTTAACTAGTGTAATGTTAACTAATGAAACCTTGTTGTAAAGTGTTACCGTAGTTATCCTTCAAAATGATATGCAGAGCGGCAGGTGCTACACACATCCAGAAACAGCCCACGATTAGACTTTTTCATCAGCTTAGTTTCAATAAAAGTTTTGTTTCCTTTTACTGAGGACATTTTAATTTCAGAAAGTTACATTATGTTTTCCTTGTACAATAAACTCTTGGATCTCAAAAGATCAAGGAACACTTGAGTCCTCATGAAACGACCGCTTTAAGATGTCTATTTAACTTTTATAGGGTCGTTTTGCAGCAGATTCTGGGATGGCTTGCTCTGTTGGGATGAAACCCCAGCTGGAACCTTTGCCTCACAGAACTGTCCAGATTACCCCAGCTTTGACCCCTTAGGTAAGACTCCCGATCACATCTGATTGTCAATCCAGAAAAACTTCAAATCATTGAGATTCTACAGCACGCTGTCATATCTGTTACATGTCTCTGGTCTGACTATTATGAAACACAAGATGTTGATCCAAAGAAAGAGTTCCAAAGCACGAGCGCAAGCTACTGGGATGATAAGTGAAGCCCTATAATGAAAAGTTCTCCGACTGTCTGGAAACATTCATATAAGCTTTTTTTTTAAGTGCAAAAATAATATATTAGCTGATGGCTAGTGTTGTTCTAAAGGAGACAGCAATTTTTTGCTACAGGACAAAAGAAGCTTTTCCATATCAAACATCTGTGAGTTCTTAAATATCATTGAAATTAATCTGCTGAGGTAAGGATATAACAGGAGACAATCTCTGCTGTTCGCTTATAGAGATCTCTCTGCGCGAGAATCAGCTCACTGTGTTTGTTATAAGACACTGATTGATTGATTCCAGAGGCCGTGGGCTGGAGTCAATCAATGGAACAACTTAATGCGTACTCACACTAGGCACAGTTGCCTTGTACCGAGCCCGAGCGTGATTGTCCCCCTCCCCTCTCGCTCTCTAGTCTGCAGTCACATTGCACTTTAAGTGATAGTTCATCCAAAAATGAACATTTTGAAGATCTTTTTGATGAAATCTGAAAGATTTCTGTCCCTCCATTGACAGCTACACAACTACCACTGAAGCTTCAAAAAGTTCATTTCCAGTGTTGTACTCGGGACTCGGACTCGTCTCGAGACCATATTTTAATGGTCTTGGTCTTGTCATGGACTCGTGTGCATTTGGACTCAGAATTGACTCGTACTCGAACATTTTTTTTTTAGGACTCGGAATTATTCCCGAGTCCACTCGAGTTCAATTCAAAATATTTTTCATGATTATTAATGTATGTTAATAAAATATTTCTTTAAATTGATTGACACGCCCAGTGATTGGTGATTTTCTAGTGCGCAACTGCGCATGACAAATTGTAATAAAATTACTTTTAACACCACCTACTATGTGGCCTTTTTACCCTAAACTGATCATATTTTTTAAACTCTAAGTAAATTCAGTAAAAAAAAAAAAAAAAAAAAGGATTTCTAAGTAAATAAAAGTAAATGAGGTAATCAACCCTCACTGGTCTCGGTCTCGACTCGGACTCGACCGTCTCTGGTCTCGGACTCGACTCGGACTCGACTCTCTATGGACTCGGTCTTGACTCGGACTCGACCGTCTCTGGTCTCGGACTCGAGTCGGACTCGACTCTCTATGGACTCGGTCTTGACTCGGACTCGACTCTCTCTGGTCTCTGTGTCGACTCGGACTCGAGTGAGGTGGTCTCGACTACAACACTGTTCATTTCAGATTGTAAAACTAATCAACATGAATTGAGCGGTTTAGTCGGAGAGACTCGATTGCTTTATATGATGCACAGATTGAAGTTAGGCTTTTATTCACATACAAACATTGATCAGCGAACATAAACAGAAGCTCAATTGAACTTTCTTGATGTGAGAGAACAAACCTCATTGGCTTCTCATACATCAAGCGAACATGCTTGAGCATCCGTTTACCACGACTGATGTGTGATGTTCACCAAAAAGGTGAGAACCAGACCTGTTATAAACCTAAATATACTTGAATTCATAGTATCCCATCCAAGAAGCAATGATGTTTTGGTGCAGTTGGCAATCACACTACATGCATACCATGCCCGAGCCCAATCAAACCCCACCTCTTCAAGCGGGCCCGGGGACGATATGGAGCGATCACACTAGTCAAACGAACCAGACTTTGAGGGTTAAAGAAAGCGTAGTGTGAGTACATCCTTAAGCTCAAGTCATTACACTAAACTTTCTTTTTCCTTGCAGAAAAAGTAACCAAATACTGCGATGAATCTGGCAACTGGGTACACAGTTCATCCATCAATAAAACCTGGTCCCACTGTCTCACATTCTCAAAGGAAAAAATTAAGGTAAAATATAGCACACTACTGAGTTGTAGATTTTTTTCGTTCATACCACAAAAATTGGTTTTAAATGCCATAGGCAGTATTAAACATAAGACAGCACAATTGCCGCCTGGATACAGTACAGTCTCGGATATGCCTATTTAAAAAGTCCAAAATTAATGTCCATTTTGGCTGTGTTGAAGAACATTTAATAACTAGTGATATGCAAAGCTCTTGACTTTGCTTTAGGTGAGTATTCATCTATATAGACTCCAAGCATGAAGAAAGAGAAAGAACATATACTTCAGTGCTTGGTCCCTAATTATCCAATAGGTCTAAAATCAGACACTTCTTTTATCTTTAATCTCAAAACGAATGCTTTCTTCTTCAGACGTTACCAGTTCATGGCTTTTTAGAGACAGAGACGGAGATGGATCCTACAGCTGAGAGTCAGGTCAGCCCTGTAGTGACTCAGAAAGCGGAGGAGAGGAAGAAGATCATCGATGGTCAATATAAATGCTTTGAGAAAATGAACAGAGACCAGCCATATAACAAATCAGGTGTGGAAACGGAGAGCCTCAGATGAGGTTTTAGATTGAATCATTTGAAACTCTTGACCTATGGCTAAGCCACGCCCCCTCCACTCACTCGGACACAGAGTCAACATTCGGGCACAGCGCTATGGCAGCTATCGCAGTAGGAGACATTTCACAGGAGGAAATTGGTGATTTTTAGAGACAGAAACATTATATATCAGTTCGAAGTCACCTAAAGGGCCTTAACTATGCATTGGATAATAATTTCATTGTTGAGAAGGTCGATGAAAAGCTTCAGCTAACAGTGTAAACGTGATAAACCACATCGTTGCCATCACCGTTTAGTGCTACAGTATTTACATGAATCATTCAGTGCAAAATTGTTAACATTTGTTATCTCGGTTATTTACAGATACGTTAATGAAGCTAAGTGACATGATGCACAACACAGCTAGAAGTTAACGTTTTCTAATGTTAGGCTAACGTTAGCCTAATGTTATGTTAGGCTACGACTTAACTTAGAACAGATGTAGACATCCTTGTTTAATTTGTCCACGTTTAGTTGGTGTTGTGGTCAACCGCATAACTTAATCGCATAACTTTATCCAGAGCAGACTCTCGGTTGAGATGTGGCTTGGGAAAGGGTAAAAATATAAATACGGCCGCCCAGCCTCTCGGGAACCTAGTGTCGGAGTTGCATGTACCCCATGTACACCGTTTTGACCATTTTAAACTTAAAATGACAAGAAAAAACGAATGAAAACTGACTTACTGCAATGCATTTCAATGGACGTGGAAGCAGAGAATGTCTGAGTGTATTGGGTTAGCTGCGCACTGTGATTGGCTCATTACTTTTGAGGGTGTGGCTTAGCCATAGGTCAATTGCCCGGAGGAATTGGCCCTGATTGTTTGTGTGCTTGTCTTAAGGTCCATACTGTAACCGGACTTGGGACGGATGGCTATGCTGGGACGACACTCCAGCAGGAATGTACACTTCTCAGTACTGCCCCAATTACTTCCCTGACTTTGACTCCACTGGTACAATTCTTTCACCTTTTGTTTATCTTTTCTGAAAACTAATCAAAAAAGTGGTGTAAGTTACGTTCACTCTGAGTAGAACGTCATGTGTTGTCATCTCATTATTATCGTTTTCGGGGTGTAACGGTTCACAAAATTCACGGTTCGGTTCGATATGATGCAGTGGTGACACGGTTCAGTACGTTTTTGATACAGCAAAAAGAAAGAAATGCTTACATTTTTTTTATTTATTTATTTAAACTAACATCATAAAGTATGATCTTTTTTTACTTTGAACAATAATGAAGCTATAACATACTTGACCCTTCTTAGCATATAAAACAAAAACAGCTCCTTATGAACAAAATTAAATGTAATATTGTAGTAGTTATAAACAAAGGTTTATTTTATTTCAGGTTTATCTTAAGTTTGCAAGGCTCCAGATTAACATTTGAGGGCAGTAATAATTTTATTCATAATGTCGGAATAATAACGGAGAAATTTGAATGCAAGCTCACTAGATCTCGCAGCGATGTCATTTCTTCTGTGATGAATTAAAATTACTGGATCTCTTAACGCAACGTAGTAACATTGTCGCAAGATCAAGATTGGCTCATGTTGCATTGGTTGCACTGATTTTTCCAAACTCATAACGGTCCGTTAAGCACAAATAAGTTGCGCAGTTTCGTTCCGCTTTCATCACGTTTACCATTTGATGTTGGGCAACGTTGTGGTGGTCAACCACATGTTAGCACGAATGCTAACAAAATTTTGGTCGGCAGGAAAAATGGTCCAACAAATTGTTTGTTTTGAAATGCGTACCGAACCGAAAGCCTCGTACCGAACGTTTAAATACGAATACGTGTACCGTTACACCCCCTAGATTTTTCAATACATATCAATTCTGAAATATCTGAAATGCTTCCAATACTCATTTCCCACAGAATAGATACATGATACCAGCTGTGCTTTCTCTCTCAGACAGGAAGTTACAGACACTGTAAACAGTTGTGAAAGAATGTGTAACAGTATAATGCCTCAGGTCTTAAAGGGTTAGTTCACCCAAAAATGAAAATTAAGCCATTAATTACTCACCCCCATGCTGTTCCAACCCCGTTAGACCTTTGATCATCTTCGGAACACAAATGAAGATATTTTTGATTTAATCTGAGAGCTGGATCACTCCTCCATAGACTGCCTAAGGGACTGGCTCTTGACGGCCCATAAAGTCATTAAAGAAAAGGTTTAAATATTCCATGTGCCTACAGCGGCTCAATTATAAGTTTATCAAGCGACGAGACTACTTTTTGTGCGAAAAAAACATAAATAACAACTTTATTCGACTATTCCAATACTTCCTTATGGGCGCATGCGCGAGATCTGAGACGAGGACGTTCTCCTTCGACTACTTCTTGTTACCGGCTGCTCACCGCTTAGGAGTATTACCGCCACCTACCGTATAAGATGATGATCCATATATATAAGCGCTCCGGATTATAAGGCGCACAGCACTGTCGTTTTTTGAGAAGATTAAAGGCTTTTAAGTGCACCTTATAGTGCGGAAAATACGCTAATTGAAAAGTGTATGTACAGCGCGCATCTTCCTCTGCTTGTAAACAGAAAGTTTTGCGCTTCCAGCTATATCAGCACATCATCTTATACGGTAGGGGGCGGTAATAGTCCTAAGCGGTGAGCAACCGGTAACAAGAAGTAGTCGAAGGAGAACGTCCTCGTCTCAGTTCTCGCACATGCGCCCATAAGGAAGTATTGGAATAGTATTGGAATATAAATATCTTTATTTGTGTTCCGAAGACGAACTAAGGTCTTACGGGGTTGGAACAGCATGGGGGTGAGTAATTAATGACGTAATTTTCATTTTTGGGTGAACTAACCCTTTAAAGTGACAGCAGCCTTACATAGCTTACTTGGTGCCAAATTATGAGATAATATTAAAACAATATCTATATAGCAGTGTTTCCCAATGGTATCGATGTCAAAATTGTGGCTTGTGAAAATGCTGAGTGGATAGTAACTTTGGAAAACCACTAGCCACAGTGGCTGTTGAGCAAAAAAGTTAACGTCAAGCCCTGCAGATAATTATTCTAGGTCATCATCCTGAAGCAAAACCAGTTTAGAACCTTTGCAGGTCTACACCACTCCAATTCTTGAAACATTTTGAAAGCTTTGAGCCTTTCTGTCAACAGGGTTACTTTAAAAGCTAAAGTATAATGGCTTTTGTCATGCACTTATCTCAGATTTCTTTCCTTGTTCATTTAGAAAAAGTCATCAAATATTGTGATGAGACTGGAAACTGGTTCAGACACCCTGAAACAAACAGGACTTGGTCCAACTACACCCTTTGCATTGCTCATACCAAGGACAAAATCAAGGTAGGAGGATGGGACATGCTTAAATTCTGCACTTGTCTTAAAGGAAGGAAAATACGGAAGCCCTGAACCGCAAAAAAAAAATCTGTAAAAAAAAAAAAAAAAAATAGCATTTCGAGATTAAAGTCGAAATGTTTCGAGATTAAAGTCGAAATGTTTCGAGATTAAAGTCGGAATGTTTCGAGATTAAAGTCGAAACATTGTGCAGTGCGCGTCCACTGGCTCAGAGCGCGCGCGCGCGTGTGTGTGTGAAGTCGAACTGCCATGGATAAACACAAAATAGTAGCTTTTTACTTTTATCTGGGCTTTCAACAAAATTCTACACACGTCACACGTGCTACTGAGGTGTTTTCGTGCTCGTCTAGTCAACACTATCTGGGTCGAGAACACAACAGTAACTGTTCGGTCTCCTCTTCCCCGTAAATATGCTCTGGATACATTTTAAGTGCATCATTCTGTATCCAATCATTTGGCCGGATCCTGTGATTTCCTAAGATTTAATAACCACTTATGGTTGAGGAGAGATTCTGTGATATGATTGTAAAGCACTTTGAGTGTAGGCATATATTTCTCCATCCAGTCTGAAAAGTGTTTTCCGTGTTGGTTTTCCTATAGGCTAAAAAGTCTATTCCGGCGCAGTATATTTTATAATGTCCTATAATGGAAGCCTAATGCTGGTAGATTGGCACCTGTTGAATTTCCTTTGATGAAACAAAACACACACACATACACAGTGTGAAACTCGCTATCGCGTAGAAGCTGCGCGTGTGTGCTTTCCATTGTCTCACATTGCCGCACACACAGGCATTCATAATGGCCAATAGCGAGTTTCACACACTGTGTGTGTGTGTGTGTGTGTGTGTGTGTTTTGTTTCATCAAAGGAGACCGAAAAGCTACTATTTTGGGTTTATCCATGGCAGTTCAACTTCACACACACACACACGCGCGCTCTGAGCCAGTGGACGCGCACTGTTATGAATGCACAATGTTTCGACTTTAATCTCGAAACATTTCGACTTAAATCTCGAAACATTTCGACTTTAATCTCGAAACATTCCGACTTTAATCTCGAAACATTCCGACTTTAATCTCGAAACATTTCGACTTTAATCTCGAAACATTTCGACTTTAATCTCGAAACATTTCGACTTTAATCTCGAAATGCTAGATTTTTTTTTTTTTTTTTTTTACAGATTTTTTTTTTTACAGATTTTTTTTTTTTAAGATTTTTTTTTTTTTTTTTACTGACTTTTTTTTTTTTTAGGTTGCGGTTCAGGGCTTCCGTAGGAAAAGGTTATTGTTATGAGTATTTCTGAACTAAAGGGTCAGATGTTATGAAAAGAAACTCTTACAGTGCACATTCTAGCTAACAAAAATATGTTCTAAGAACATTTCGCTATTGTTCCCATTAAGTTTTGAAAACGTTATTTTGGATTGTTCTCAGAACGTTCAAAACTTTCGCAATTTAAAATGTTTTTTCTTAGTTATATGAATATTAAGGGAACCATCCATTTGATCATTTTGCAAATGTACGCTCAAAAGGAACATTCCCATAATGTTTGGAAAATTTAAGTTTCACATAACCAAGACAAAAAAAAATGTTTTAAAAATATAAAAAGAACCGAACATTCATCATTTTCAACAATGACTTAACGGGAACATTAGGAAACCATTCTTAGAACATATTTGTGTTAACTGGGATGTTCGATTGCAATATTTCAACGAAAAGACTTTATTTCCTGTGATTTCAGCCCATGTGTTTAAAAATGCAATTACAGTTTATATCCAGAATATCCAGATAGCTTTTGCTTTTCTAAAATGTGTTTATAAATATTACAAAAGTAAACAAGAAAAATAATTAGCAGATCAACATACCACAATATCATAAAAAAGCAGAAATATGATAGATACAGCTCTGATACACTTTCATTCTATTTAAAAGCTATTCCTAAATGGCATTGTTGGATTTGAGTGTTTCTTTCAGACTCAGTGGCAGTGAAGCGTTATGTCGACACAAGGCAGATTCAGTTTAACTTAACAGCTTTTCTGGGGGACAGCGGCTCTGAAAATAATTCATAACATAATGGTTTCAGAGCCATACAACTGCTTCTTTACAAAGTGAGGGATAGAGAGAAAATGTCATCTCTGGCAAACTCAAATAAAGTCTGTGCAGTTCACTCCAGATGGAGTTCATAAAAAAGGCATAGAAAATTGGGATATGCACTTTCAATGCTACTTTTATGCTTTGTTACTACTTTGAGATTGCATAAAACTTACTGGTAAATAGCACTTTTGCTAAATATCAACTTTTTTATTATTATGTTTAATACCTCAAAATATACTTAATTACTGAAGTTCAAGGTTGATACTTTGTGAATTGTTGTAATCCTATGAGAACTGATTATTAACAGAATATCAATGTGATAACACACTTTAAATACCGTGCATAATTAATTTTAAAATTGCATAAGTTATTGCTAAAATTGCATAAGTTATTGTTAGAGTGAAATCTTATATGATATATATATAGTTTTAAAAATCTGTTTTGATTTTCTCCACTTTTCTTAATAATAATTATATTAAAACTACTCTATTGAATAATAAATTGCAGAAATACATTTGAATATAAAAGCTGAATTTACATTAGGGTGAACGTGGTTTGACCTTAACATTATTTGTCTCATTTCAGATGGCGTATATCTTGTATTACATGGCGATTGTGGGTCATGCTCTTTCTATCGTGTCCCTTCTCATCTCGCTGGCCATATTCTTTTATTTCAGGTGAGTTTCCACCTCCTCTTGACTGTCTCCACCCATACGAGTTGAAGGCCAGAAATATCAGCGTAGCTGCAGTTACTTCAGAACGATCAATAAACCTCTCGATGATGGGTCGCTCAGTTGTTCACTTGTTTTTGGCAGGGATGTGTGTTGTCTACTCTCAAACATTACTCAGAGCGGTTGACGGTGACTGTGTGGAGGTAGAGTGCTGCGGTTGGCTTCTGAGATTTATTTAATTGACAGAGTCCGTGTTTAAGCTTTTCAAAGAGAGATTTACCAAGCGGCTCTCGGTTGCCCCATTTATCACTGTGGTCAATTCAAACCGAATAGAAAAGATGGATAGGCGTTCCCGTCAGCATGGCCACGCGGAAATTCAGTCTGAACCCTGAAGCTAAATGCATTAACCCTTGAATTATATTCAACTCTGGATCAGGCTTTTGCCTTTACAAGTCAGGAAAATTGGCTGAATTACCATATACAGTGCTTTGTGAACGCATCGAAATCTAAACCAACCACCTTATTTGACTGAATTGCAAATCGTACACTGAAATGCAATTCAAGTTTGCAAACAAACTGAAATCCAAAAGGAATTATTTCAATATGATATTGTTTTGGTGAACTAACTGCTATTTTGGAATCCTATAAATTTATACTTATGAAAAACAGTATAACAAAAATGTCTGGAATAATTGATGCACACCCGAGGTGGTAATGAGGCAACACACATTAGACCTGCATCATTTTTCAATAATTCAACGGCCTGAAGTCAATTATTCCGCTTGTACTACAGTTACCACACCCCAAAACATTGTTCAGATGATGTATTTCAAGACATCTTTCAGGTTTTTCTCCTTGAAACGCTCTTGTGTGTGGGACTTCTTTTTCATCTAATCCCAAGCCTCCGTTGCTAATTCCAAAACGTCATTTTAGAGCTAGTAATGGAGACTTGAGCCACTGATAGCGGACTAATTGCACACCTTAGAACTTGTGTCAACCAATCAGTTTCAAGCATTTAACTTCCCCGTGGTATACAAGGACTGGTACGTTTCTGCGGGTTGTACACTAAGCGTTGCTTTTAAACGCCCTCGTTCGTGTTTGTTTGAGCACTCTCTGAGCTAAAATGGTTTCTATTTACAGTGTGTTTTTACAAGCTTTGTTGAGCATTGTAGCCAATCACAATCATATCTGTTGAGTGCATGAACGCAAAGGCCTATCAGTAGTGCTAGTCAGTAAGTTAGTCAGAATTCACTTATCACTGCTGAAAACGCACACGGTTTTGTGTTGTTTGCTTGTGATAATCCTTTCATTTTAACATACTAAGTGTAAACACAATGTAAATAAGAGATTCATTGTATAATTAAGACAGTTAAGGAAATCCGTTTTACCAATTTTACCAAAACTTAATCACAAGACTCATGTTTTACATATAAAATGAAGTCTGGATATAGAAAGAAATGCAACGGAGAGCTCAGGGCTTTTGTCTGTATTCACATTAGCCCGTGAGGGAGGGTATCGCGACTCTCCTCACGTAGATACATGCCGGGTTTCAATTGATTATGGAACTGTAATAATACATTTACCTGACATAATAAATTGTTATATTTGATTATTCTAACAGACATTGACTTTATTTTCATTACAGTTAAAATAGTCAAACATTAACGTGTATTTAATGATGCACAGAAATCATTGAAAAACCTTTTTCATTTTATGGAGTAAGATGAAACGAGTTAATATATAAGATAAAATGTATTGCATTTAATTAAAAATCACTTTGCCATGGGAAAGACGGTAAACGTGTGAGACCTTCGCCTCTAATCGAACATCATATCCTGCATATTTGTGGTCTATATCCCATTAATAATTCACTGGAATGCACAAAGAATCTGACTTTTTTCTCCTCAATCCTAACGTCTCTTCTTTCCGGGTTTGTTTTCACAGGTAAATAAAATTTATTATCTGTCAAAATTACGGAAATCACTTTGAAATAGTATCACGCAATGCTGAAGTGGACATTTCTGATTAAGGCAATAATACAGATATGTATTACTTACTGATATTTAACCCGTCTGTTATTGCCGTGGAAAGAATCTCGCTTTTGGGCTTATTTATATTCTCTTGTTGAAAGTACCTTGTTGATGCTTTTACACTTTTAAATGTCCTTTTAATGTTCAATGGTTGAAATGTGAGTGGAATAATATCATCTCATTAAACCTAACGTACAGAAAAAAATATAAAAAAGAGAAAAGGGTATAATTGCGTTCATAAAGCGAGCTTTTCACTGATTGTGAAGTTACACCCATAATTCGTGCCAAGCGTCATGGGGCGTAGGAATAAGGTGGATATGTTCATTTGTTTTATAGAATAAGTACTGTATGTGTGTCAAAACTAGTTGTGTAGACTTGAACTTATGCTGTTCACACAAGTATGTAGTTTTACTTTTGTCAGTCACGAATTCAGTTAATTAAGATTATTAATTTGGCGGTGTGAAATAAAAACATAACATAACATTGTAGGATTTGTGATTCAGTTCAATGACCGTGCTTGTTTTTATGGACGTTTAAATGATTTAGTGATCCTTCTGTCATTAACATTAACAAATGAACTTTTAATAGGACCCGACTGTTTGCACTCCACTTACAGGCTGAAAGAGAAAGGTCATTTGGCTCCGGCATCGCTAAAAAAAGGATACTTTCTCATCATTGTGTTTTATTGAGTTCAAATCCGTGGTGTCCAAATGTCTGGAAGAGCTGCACTAAGCTCTGAGCCAAATGACGAGTAGTATTTGTCAAGTTTTGTGTGTCATTTCATGCTGACTTGGTTCCCTCCGTATGTCTGAGTCCCCTAGGGTAAACTTAATTTCATGGGTAATTAAATGTAGGAGCCAAAGAGTAATATATACATTTTGGGTTGTATGTCACATAGTATGGCAGTTGTATCCAGCAAGTAAGTTTACAATCTCATAGTTTATTATTATTTCTTTTTTCACTAAGCAATCATTGAAAGCTTGAGAGAGAGTCAATGGACTCTTTAGATCGATCATTATTTAGAGGATTGAAAGTATATTTCTATTTAGACCTCATTTCAATATTAGCGCTCAACAAATCCTTTTTTTTTTTCAAGAAATTACAGTCTGTTGTCAGGACTGTTGTTATTTCATTTCATTTTTGATTATGGCATTATGACATGTTTCATATCCCAGCAAATGTAGCCTAAAATTACTGGGGGAAAAAGGGAAAGCAAGAACATTTGGATGTTTTGACATCATTCTGTTTGTGCCTAAGCGATCTGATCAACAAGTCTACATCTTGCTACTTTTTTGAAATATTTAATTTATTCGCAATTGCTAAATTTTTATTGTGTCAATTATGACGTTGGTTTGGTACACTATCTTGAGGTGTAACGTAGCAACGCTTGTTTTTATGGTACGATGGTGATATTTACTGTCCGATCCTCTGAGATGTCAAAGTCTTAATGTCGTCTTATTGAGTCCAGATGTGCTGCTCAAAGAGGTGCGTGTCAGCATACAGCTGCGCTAAGCTTTAATTTATGCCCCACCAGTTAATGCCAGAAATTTTTGGTTTGGAATATGGGAAATAGCTTTGGAAAATGAGCTCAGCTTTCACTCCCATCCCAGCTTTGCACTCAGCTGATCTCTGCTGGCAATTTTAGGTTAAATTGAGTGAAATCATGTGAGTAGCATGACCTTAATTGGGAGATTGTGATGACATTTGCGAATGCAGGTGTGAACTTGTTTTACGTCCCAAATTTGCCATTTTTAACAACTCCTGACCAACAACAAAACAGCATTTCAAACTTAGAACTTCCCTACCCCCTTCTAGATTTCTATTTAAAATAAATGATGTTCATTTGCACTTTCTATTCGCTGAAAAAAATGATCATGGTTTCCATAAAAATATTAAACAGCCCAACTATTTTTAACACTGATTATACTTTTTCTTGAGCAGCAAATCAGCATATTAGAATGATTTCTGAAGGATCATGTAACACTGAAGACTGGAGTAATGCTTGGACCTTTTTATTTTCAACCAATAAGCTTTAAAATTACTGTTAAAAACAGCCAAGCATCTCACAATCACATTTTTGAAATACGGCTGCACGAAATTGATGTTCTGTTTGTCATTAAATGGGTCGTATTATGAGGAATCCATTTTCCCTTTATCTTTAAGATATAAAGAGTGCATTGTACTACTAAACATACTGTAACATTTAGCCGAAAAAATATCCATTTATTGAAACTGGTAGGGGTGTAACAATATATCGTGCCATAATATATCGCAATACAAAAATGCAACAATACGTATTGTGGATAGTTCCCCCCAAAATAAAAATGACTGTGTGGGAAAAAAGTTTTCAGAGTTTTAGTGTCCGTACTGCATTAAACTACTATATATAATGGTGATTATGATGAATAATGGGTCCTGATAATGCCAAATATCTGATGTTACCAGTGAAAAGTGTCCAACATTATTTGAAATATATGTAGTCAGTGACAGATCAAGCATATTCGTCTAAAATAATTCAGTATTTTCAGCTTCAGAATCATGAATATTGTTATTCTGGTGTCACCAATGTCCTTGCACACCCATAATGGGTTCATTTTGAACCAAATCCTGGGCTAAAAAGGGACCAACTAATTTCTGGGTTATTTCAACCCAGAAAATTGGATTCTTCCCTATAACCCCCAACATGGGTTTCTCTTTGAAAAATAACCCAGAATCTCAAACAACCCAGGAATTCGGTCAAAATATTAGCCCTATAACCCAGAAAAGGGTTACTCTCTAAAAATATATATATATATATATATATATATAATTTTATAATTTTTTAATTGTTATATTTTTGACCCAACACAAATAACCCAAGTCAAAGCCTATTAATTTAAACCCACAATGTAATATGAAAGTTAGCATTTTAATCAACAGTTGATTTTTAGTTAACCTTTTATCATATGTGTTGGAGTATTCGCAATAATATCCTATCGTTAGTTCAGTATCGTGACATTAGGGTATCGTTACACCCCTAGAAACTGGGCTAAAAACATTCTCATTATGAAATCCCTGAGTTCCTGATATTACCATATGACCACTTTTGCACATCAGTCTCATGGTGAGATCATACAGAGAAAATCTGCCTCTGTTTCTGGATGCTTGTAGCATCTACTTTTCTGCATATCTGACAATCAAAATGCAATGCAGGCTTTGTAAGGAGGCATTTGAAAGACAGGACAGACAAAAACTATATTGAGCCTGCTGTGAAGAGGTGCATGGCAATGGCATGAATGAATGGTCTGATTTATGAATTATGTATTCCCCTGTGACAGCAGAAGTGTGGTGCATATCTTGGACATGCTGAAAAAAGCTCAGTGCTTGATATTAGTAAAAATTGTAATCTGTTTTAGAAGCAGATTGATTTATTACGCATCTCAGAAAATGTGTTTGTTTCAATCCTAAAATGAACTGTCAAACTGATTACTCTGCAAAAAGTCTCCCAACTGCCTCTGTCATGAATGATCCGTGATTAATATTTCTTTATCTTCCATCCAGGAATCTGAGCTGTCAGAGAATCACTCTACACAAGAACTTATTCTTCTCGTATGTGCTCAACTCCGCCTGTACCATCATCAACCTTTTAACTGTGGTCAACAACCCCAGAGTGGTGCAGAAGAATCCGGTGCGTGGCCTCAACACAAAGCTCACATTATCAACAGGGCTTTTATCTAAACCTCGCTCTGTACCCCGTAAAAGGAACATTTCACACTTGTAAATTAGAAGCAGGGGCAGCACAGCCTTTTACCCGGGGCTATGAAACATGGCTCAGAAGCACGATTAGCACTGCTTTTGCGCTGTTATTACAGACCATTTCACAAGATGTAAACAACACTGGTCCAGAAGCACTTCCTGTTTCAGTTTTTTAACACTACATGAAAGCTGGGATAAAATACAACCAACAGAACATTTAAAACTGAATCAAAAAGTTAAACAAACATCTTTAAGATGTTTTCTTTACATGTGAAATAAAGAAAACAGTTACAAACTGAAACAGGAAGTGTTTCTGGACCAGTGTTGTTTACATCTTGTGAAATGGTCTATAACCCTGTATTTTGGTGCCAAACATGTACAGTTGAAACGTAACATAAGACAGTTTCAGTGCAAACTGCAAACTGTTCAAAGGGCTTTAAACGATTCCAGAGGATGAATAAGGGTCTCAAGCGAAACAATCGCTCATTTAAAAAAAAAAAAAAAAAAAATATATATATATATATATATATATATATATATATATATATATATATATAACAAGTTTAAAGGGTTAGTTCACCCAAAAATTAAAATTCTGTCAGTATTTACTCACCCTCATGTTGTTCCAACCCCATAAGACCTTCGTTCATCTTCAGAACACAAATTAAGATATTTTTGATGAAATCTGAGAGCTGAAAAAAAAAGTTTCAAAAAGTTATTAAAGACATCGTTAAAATAGTCCAAGTGACTCAATCTTAACTTTATCAAGCGACGAGAATACTTTTTTTTTGCGCAAAAATAAACAAAAATGACGACTTTATTTCAACTATTCACTTCCTTCTCTATGCGCCTGTAGTCAGTTAACGTAGTGTGATAGCATAGAGCTACGTCACACGTAGGCTCACTATTGACTAGGGTTGGGAACCGAGAACCGGTTCTTTTCCAGAACCAGTTGTGTTTTTGAAAAAATACCGGAACCGTGCAAAATTCCTAAGTTTCGGTTCCGAAAACGGTTCTGATGCCGATGCGATATCATCATGTGGGCGAAGTGCTGGGAGTAGAAGATGCCGTCTTATTCCTAAATGACAAAAACTTCACCACTGAAGTTGCGATTTGCTCTCACACGCGCTGCATTTGTCACACACAGACACAGGCACGCTGCGCGCGCCGACCGCCGAGTCACTCTCTAGCCTACATTCAAATCTGTTTGCGCTGAGAGAGAGATAGGGAGCAGTTGTTGATATGAAACTGCTTTACAATCACACAGTCTCAATATTTATTTGTTTCACATATTCAAATGATTTCCGTTACAGAATTAGTGAGATTATAGTTTGAGTATTGACGGTAGTGGTCAAAACAGATGCAGTCCGTATATTTTTTGTGTTCAGAATTTACAAAATATATACAATGAGCGAGTGCATCATAATGTTTTTTTTTCAAACCGTGTTTTTGTCTTATCTTGAATCACTACGTAAAGCCTGTAATAAGCGTTAATACTCGGACTTCTTGATTAGACTGGCCGGCGGATCGCAGCTGCTGCGGAGTAGCCCAATGCCTGCGTGACTCGTCATAGACATAAACAGAGAGAAGTAGCTCCGGCAACAATGTTCTTCCGCAAGACGCATGCAGTTCTGTTTATTAACTGCTAGAGCGCCGATTTATCCAGTAATGAAATAAGTAAAGTCTTAATGAATCAATCATTCAAACCGTTTTAAAAAAATAATCTGTTCTACACACATATGTGTGTTAAAGCATATACTATTCCTTCTGAGAGGGTATTCTTCACTGTTGGAGATACAATAAAGGAGAGGTCTAAATTATTATAGAGAATGCAGAATTTTTTAATTTCCTTTATATATAATTTTTTTTTTTTTGCAAAGATTGCTTAATAATATTTTGAGTTTGTTTACATTACCAGTCTGTTAAACTAATTTGTCATGTACTATAAGAAATAAACACAAAAAGGATTGTGGATTTTTCTCTTACTAATATTTTTAATTGAATGGGAACCGGAACCGGAATCGTTTGGCGGAACCGGAATCGGAACCGGAACCGGAAAATTTCTCACGATTCCCAACCCTACTATTGACTGACACTGGTCATGTGTGTGATGCGTGTGACGTACAATAACAGAAGCTTACGCTATTAAACTAGTAACCTGACTCAAGGCAGAGAGAGAAGGACATGAATAGTTGTTGTTTTTTGCGCACAAAAAGTGCTCTCGTCGTTTGTTAAACGTAAGATTGTAGTCACTTGGACTATTTTAACAATGTCTTTAATAACTTTTCGAGGCCAGCAAGTTTCAATTCCTCAAGAAGCCTATGGACTAGTATGGTGGAGTGATCCAGCTCTCAGATTTAATCAAAAATATCTTAATTCGTGTTTCAAAGATGAACGAAGGTTTTACGGGGTTGGAACAACATGAGGGTGACAGAATTTTAATTTTTGGGTGAACTAACCCTTTAAGTTTTATAAGCTCAAATGATCGCCTTGCTCTGTTCTGTGACGCGAGTTCGTGACTCTCCTGTTTGAACTCGTTTATCAAAATGGAACAAATCTTTTTTTGTGTCATTTGGTTGATTCAACGAACGAAATGAACGAATTGACTCGGAAAAAGATTTGTTCATTTTGATGCAAGGTGACCATTTGTTTCGTTTTGCTTGATTCCTTTTTCATCGTCTGGAATCGTTTAAGGCGAAGGCGAAAGGGGTTCATACACAGTATTAGTATGGCTTTCTTAATAATCATTTAGGTGAGTGTATAGTTAGTATAATGTCTAAAGTGGACTATCGAAATAAAGTGTACCCTTAAATTAAATTAGCGACAAACAGAGTTTTCAAACAGGTTTCAGAATCTGTTATTGGTCTGCAAAACAGATAGTCCCGCCTCAAGCTATTGGTTGAGACAGTTTTTACTGCGTTGGCCAAAGTGTTTTCTTGGAAATGAAAGGCCTACTTATAGTTGATCTTGCAAATTAAACTGGGATGAAGCGTTTAAAAAAACCTTTAGAATATACATTTTTGATCTCTAACATGGCCTGGACGATCTCTTCTTCTGAATTTTTGAGTTGTCTGGCGGCTTTGTAAGAACATGTGTGCAGTTTTAATTAGATAATGCTGGCAGTAGTGTCTATTCTCAATCCACTGATCACACATATCTCCCAACAACACGTCAGTCATCCAGATTAACTTTTTTACCATATGTCCATGGCATCTTTCTCCTGCGTGCTGAACCCACACAACTGGCAGTAAGTCCTCACACATGTTATTCCCAACACACAACTTTCCTTTAGAAGTCAAGGCTCTTTTACTTTAAATTCAAATGTCCTTGACATGTAATGGCATTCTAGTCAGACTAAGCACAGCTTATGTCAGAAACACAGGGTTTGAGTCTAAACTAAACCTATCTGTAACCTCTTCTCCTTGAGGCTGGAAATGCATTCAGCACTGACCGCGGCTCGACTCGCTGGAGTTGGGAGGAAAAACAGGAGCTTGTTCTTCAGGCTGAACAAGGATACCATAAATTAAACAGAGAATGCACCCACACCCCCGAAAGAATGCATTAAGACATTACACTGCATTACACTGGCCCCAAAAAACAGACATTATTTTGAGAAAGCATGAGTAAGAAAGGTACTTTTACAGGCACAGCAGGGTTTGTCTTTTAAATGAAGGAGCCTGGTGAATAATGCATCTCTCAGACAAGCCAATATTTGCTGGTGAGTAAGAAAAAATGATTATGATCTTTCTGAAACTACACCTCCGCTGCACTCCAGTCCTTTTAGAACTTCAAATTCCACTCTCAGGATACAAACTCGGTTTAGACGGTCTCACTTTTTATCTGTTTTTTTTTTTTATAATATTGGTATATCAGAAAGAAGCATAGGCAATTCTCCTCGGTCGCATTAGGTACAGTAGCTAAAGTGAATGTTTTTCTCCTCACTACACCTCTTAGATCATGCAGAACATTCCAGTGTGGCAGATTTATGCATTCCTCCGTAGAGAGCAAAACCTGAAATGATCATATTCCATAAAAAGGTCTCATGCTATGAAAATACAATGTGGATAAAACAATATAGCCTTTTATGGTGTACTAAATGTCTTTCTCAAGTCTAAAATATCATTTTTTTTAAATCTTATATATGACAAATATAGAATATCTACACTCTAAAAAATTCTGGGTTGTTTTAACCCAACTTTGGGTCAAATATGGACTAACCCAGCCGTTGGGTTAAATTTTTACATTACATTTTTAACCCAACATTTCGGGTTTGTCCATATTTGACCCAAAATTGGGTTAAAACAACCCAGCATTTTTTAGAGTGTAGCTAAATGAAAATCTTTACCCAAACTTAAGTTTTTTTTTTTTTTTAATATCAAGACAAAATATCAAGTTAAAGCATAGGGTATTCTTTCAAAACTTAAATTTAAATTAAATGAAAAATGAAATATTCTTCTCAGTTATTAATTTAATATATACACACTATCGTTCTAAAGCTATAGATTTGTACGATTTTTTTTAAAAGAAGTTTCTTCTGTTCACCAGAGTAGCATTTATTTGATCGAAAATACAGCAAAAAAATGTATAAAATAAAATAATTATTCTATTTGAATATATGTTAAAATGCAATTTATCCCTGTGATCAAAACTGAATTTTCAGCATAACTACTCCAGTCTTCAGTGTCACATGATCCTTCGGAAATCATTCTGATATGCTGAAACATTTATTATTATTATCAATGTTGAAAACATCTCAAATATTTCATGATTATTTGATAAATAGAAAAGTTTAAAAGAACATCATTTATCTGAATTAGAAAGCTTTTTTCATATTATAAATGTCTTTACTGTCACCTGTAATCAATGTAATGCATTCTTGCTGAATAAAAATAGAAATTCTTACTGACCCTGTACTTTGTACTTTGAATGACTAATAAAATGACAATTTGAATCATTACTTTACATTTCTGATCTAATATTTGTAGAGCCTTTTTTCCCCTCATTAAAAAAAAAAAAAAAAAAAAAAAAACCATAGGGTTTTCACACTTGAAATTGAAATAACCTTAGGTCATTCTAAACCCCAGGCAAATGTAATATATATATATATATATATATATATATATATAGCCAACTGTACAATTTAGTTCACACTTCAGACTATACAGGTAAGAATGAAACTTCTTCACTCCAGTTGCTATTTTTCTCTCAATCCAACTGTACTCCGAAAAAAAAAAAAGGTTTGTTTTTGTTAATTCTCAAGTTTGTTGTTTGAGAATTGTTTCAACTCATTCTTGGGTCAAATATGGATGAACCCTTAAAGGAGTAGTTCACTTTAAAAAAAACAAAAAACTTTTGATGATACTTTACACAACCCCATGTCATCCAAGATGTCCATGTCTTTCTTTCTTCAGTCGAAAAGAAATTAAGGTTTTTGATGAAAACATTCCAGGATTTTTCTCCATATAATGGTCTTTACTGGTAACCAAACGGTTCAAGGTCCAAAAGAAAGTTTCAGTGCAAACTGCAAACTGTTCAAAGGGCTTTAACTCTACGTGGCATTGATTCAACAAGGTGCTGAAAGCATTCTTTAGAAATGTTGTCCCATATTGATAGGATAGCATCTTGCAGTTGATGGAGATTTGTGGGATGCACATCCAGGGCACAAAACTCCCATTCCACCACATCCCAAAGATGCTCTATTGGGTTGAGATCTGGTGACTGTGGGGGCCATTTTAGTACAGTGAACTCATTATCATGTTCAAGAAACCAATTTGAAACGATTCGAGCTTTGTGACATGGTGCATTATCCTGCTGGAAGTAGCCATCAGAGGGTGAGTACATGGTGGCCATAAAGGGATGGACATGGTCAGAGACAATGGTCAAGAAGGCCGTGGCATTTAAACGATGCCCAATTGGCACTAAGGGGCCTAAAGTGTGCCAAGAAAACATCCCCCACACACCATTACACCACCATCAGCAGCCTGCACAGTGGTAACAAGGCATGATGGATCCATGTTCTCATTCTGTTTACGCCAGACTCTACCATCTGAATGTCTCAACAGAAATCGAGACTCATCAGACCAGGCAACATTTTTCCAGTCTTCAACAAATTTTGGTGAGCTCTTGCAAATTGTAGCCTCTTTTTCCTATTTGTAGTGGAGATGAGTGGTACCTGGTGGGGTCTTCCTCTGTTGTAGCCCATCCACCTCAAGGTTGTGCGTGTTGTGGCTTCACAAATGCTTTGCTGCATACCTCGGTTGTAACGAGTGGTTATTTCAGTCAAAGCTGGTCTTCTATCAGCTTGAATCAGTCGGCCCATTCTCCTCTGACCTCGAGCATCAACAAGGCATTTTCGCCCACAGGACTGCCACATACTGGATGTTTTTTCCATTTTTTACACCATTCTTTGTAAACCCTAGAAATGGTTGTGCGTGAAAATCCCAGTAACTGAGCAGATTGTGAAATACTCAGACCAGCCCGACTGGCACCAACAACCATGCCACACTCAAAATTGCTTAAATCATCTTTCTTTCCCATTCTGACATTCAGTTTGGAGTTCAGGAGATTGTCTTGGCCAGGACCACACCCCTAAATGAATCAAAGCAACTGCCATGTGATTGGTTGATTAGATAATTGCATTCACGGGAAATTGAACAGGTGTTCCTAATAATCCTTTAGGTGAATGTATAACTTTGTAACTACATGTCACTTAGTCTCTACCAATGGTAGAAGGTCTGGACTCAATACAGTAGGTTTGCTTTCATTGGCAGTTTGACTGACATGTAAAGCAACCAATCACAGTTAGTTTTGTTCAGCGTCATTTGTATGGATTTGAAAATGTAAAGTCTCTTGTAAAACTCTTAGAGGTTAAAGAGTGTATGCCATGAACTTCACATACTTTTGAAAATCCATTGTTCAATTGATCCTGATAAGGGCTCACTGTAACAGTTGTAATCACGAAGGCTTTCTTTTTCCATGAGGGGGTTTGGCACCACAAAATAGCTTTTTTTTCCAAGCCAGACCGTTAAAGAACGCAACACACATGTCTCAGCCAATAACCAGAATTCAACCAATAATAAAATGAAACTCAATATATAACCATGCATAATTAGGATAGCAAAATAAATGGACTTTAAAAAGAAAGGATTCCCGTTGTTTTAAGTTGTGCATCCAAACTAATTTTTGATGTAAATCCATCAGTCACTAATTTGGCTAAAACGAAAACAATATTTGGATGTTTAAATGAATTTAATTTGGATTTCTGCTGTTGGTTATGATTTTATTAAATTATAAGTTATTCCACTCAGCCTGTACCCTGTAAATAATTTTCAGTGCCTATGTAAATTCATGAAATTGATTTTATTCAAAATAAATGTTACCAACCACCTGAGCCACTGCAGTAGATAACTGGCAAAGCATTCATTTCTTAACTAGCTAGACCAGAACCAAACCAGTATAAATTGGGTTGCACATTGTAATTTCGGCAGAGCTGTCCTGTTAGATGTTGCCTGAATTGTGAAACTTAAAGCACCCGTCTACTTCATTCTCTCACTTTTGTCTCTCTGCAGATTGGCTGCAAGGTGCTGCACTTCTTCCACATGTACATGCTGGGCTGTAACTATTTCTGGATGCTCTGCGAGGGGATTTATCTGCACACGCTGATTGTGGTGGCTGTTTTTGCAGAGGAGCAGCATCTGCACTGGTATTATCTTCTGGGCTGGGGTGAGTCTGTGCTTCCCATGTCTGAACGCAGCTTCCATTTTTGCTTTCCCATCTGTCAGCCAACTCTAAATAGTAAATATGAACGCCCTTTCTATTAGCTAAGCACAGAGTTTATCGTGACCTGGTTTCAAAGGCAGCTGTTTCATCAGTCTTTGCTCCATAATTTATTGGATACATTTGCTTGTGGTCATGTCCTCTTGCTCCATAAACAGAAAACACTGTCGCCGGCACAAACACAGATGAAACTCAGACGAATCAGCCAATATACAGTTAGCACACAATGTGCTGGGAAGTTGTGGATGTTTGAGGTCGTGGTACTTTACTGTTCCCACTTGCAGTTTTATTAGGACGGATTTTTGAAGATCAGGGCTTAACTATCTTGTTTCGGCTGTTCTCTTTGTCAGCAATGACATGGGTTAGGAAGTAGCCAACATATGGACAAAAAAAAAAAAGCCTTGAATTGTGGAGCATTATTAAAGATTGTATGATAACCCTGTGCCAGATCATCCATTTCCACAGGGAGAAAAGACAGCCTTCGACCATCTGTATAAAATCTGCCTTGTGGCTTTTCAAGCTGTCCTGAGGATATTCAAAGCCGTTGTTAAAATTCGCATATCACCCCAAAAAAATTAATTATTTCCTCATTCCTACCCTATATGACTTACGTTTGACTGTGACAAACAAATGGGAAACGTTTGAAGTATTTCCAAGAAGTGTTTTCCAAAAAAAAACACCATAAATGTATCATAGTTCATATCATCTGTGCATTATTGTTTGATAACTTTGAGTGAGAAACAGGCTGAAATGTAAGTCATTATTTACTGATAATCGTCCCCTCGTCATGCGTCAAGACAACTGTTTATTTAGCCTATAAATGATGAGCCCGTAAAGCGCTATGATTTCAAATACTTCAATAAATCAAGTTACGCATTTCACATGGTCGTGGCTCACCGTCTAATAACAGTTACAGCGTTATCATTCATTTTGCATTAGGGGCATAATATTTTGTGACTTATGTCTCAATTCTCCTTTCAACAGGATTCCCCTTGGTGCCTGCATCCATCCATGCTGTGGCGAGAAAGAAATACTTTGATGACAAGTGAGTAACGTTCACTGCTTTTCAGCAGTAAATACAGAAGACAGGCCAGATTCAGTGGACAGTGGGTCTGATATGAGATTTATTATATTTTTCCACTAGCTGCTGGATGAGTGTGGAGACCCATCTGCTCTACGTGGTTCACGGCCCTATTATGGCAGCTTTATTAGTGAGTCCATTCATTTATTATCTATCATATTGAGCTTTGCATATATTCACACACTATGAATCTCTCTGAGTAATCCATGAAAAAAAAAACTTGAGAATGCTTCATTTTGAGGAAAAGTTTGAAAGCAATATTATGTTCTTAGTGCCGCAAATGACAAATATTGCGTTTAACATCTCATTAGAACACGTTTCTGTTAAAATTGGATTATCGAGTCAATGACTACACTGTGTTCATTCACAGCTTAATTGTGGTAACTCTGTGTGAAATTAAAATCTAAATAGAGCATCTTAATTAAAGACTGTTTGGAGCTCATTTTATATATATCTTTTTATGTTGTAGGTCAATTTATTCTTTCTGCTGAACATAGTACGGGTCTTGGTGACCAAACTGAGAGATACACACCGTGCGGAGTCTAACATGTATATGAAAGCGGTGAGAGCCACCCTCATTCTGGTGCCCTTATTGGGCATTCAGTTCGTCATCTTCCCTTGGCGACCAGAAAACCGCTTGGCAGGAGAGATATATGATTACTTCATGCACATATTAATGCATTACCAGGTAACTAAGACTGAATGCTAACTCTTTTTAATTGTGGAAGACACCTAAAAATGATTGTTAATGCTTCCATATTTTCTGTTTTGCAAGGGATTGCTGGTGGCAACCATATTCTGTTTTTTCAATGGAGAGGTAAGCAGACTAATATGATTTTAAAGAGATATTTCACCCCATAATGCTAATTCTGGTATTGTTCACTCACCCTCATCTAGTTAGGTTTTAATTAGAGAAATATCATTTTAATAATTTCCATGCAACGTCATAAAACCCCCATAAAAATAGCCCATGCAACTTTTTCGTAATGGATAATTCACATTCAAACCAAAATATACTGTAGTGGCAAGTTGTAATGTCAAAAGTCATTGGTTTAAACATTTAACAACAAAACTAGAATTCGCCAATGTGAATATGTGGAATGGAGAATGACATTCAAGAGGTATGTCAGATTAGAGGTAGTGCAGTGCGTAATATAGCTATTTGTGATTGCAAAAGAGTTACTTGCTGCGTCCCAATTCGCATACTATCCGTCCTAAATAGTATTCGAAAATAGAATTAGTACGTCCCAAATCGTAGTATGTTGAAATGAGTGTTTCAAAGATACCCGGATGGTCTACTATTTCCGGTCAGAATCCGAAGATCGATGCACACTCTAACGGCTGATATTGCCCAGAAACCATTGCGCGTCGGACGAGGATTCGGTTAGAACTACAAACACGAGTAAAAAGTGTTAAAAAACTACAGACACGGAGGACGCGCGAGTCCCGCGGTTGTGTAGAGAGGTTTAGATAAAGAGCTTTGAGTGTTTAATTATCAGTATCTAACCTGACGAAAATGAAATTATTCAATGTTGTCCACATTATATTGCATATGCAGCAGCATTGTGAACTTTTGTAAAGATACGTTTAGCCATTACTTTTTAAATGCATCATTATATTCAAATTGCAAACACAAGGAGAGTCTCTGCATTAAAGATCCACGACTGGCAGATGAACGTACTCTCCGAAACAGTAGGAAATTAAATTAGATTGAATGGAGGATTTTAACTGTGACAAGATGATTGACAGGGCAGTTTATGGTGACAGGATGCACGCGACAGAGAGGTCCGTTAAAGATGACGTGATAGTATGTCCCAAAGTTTGCCTACTCTTTTGCTACTCTCTCAAAAGTATGTACTTTTACTTCACAAATAGAGTACATACTTTTAGGCTGTAGTATAAGTAAGCGAATTGGGATGCAGCAATTGTCTCCTAAAAGAAAGAATCGGTTCTAAACCATAGATATCTATATAAAGGCTAGATATGTCGTCCACGCTGCTGGCCAATGGAGGTCGACGTCTGCACCTGGCGGCCATCTTGTCACAGGCAGCTCGCTCACTCGTAACATTGTGTTAATGGTACATGTACTATTTAAATGAACATAATTTGCTAAATTTTCTACCGATTTTCAAACGGTTTGTTTTGTTATAAACGTCAGAGATGTAGTTATGACACTGCATACTTGACATGAACAAAAAGTGTATAAATAAATAATCATCCAGATAATTATAGCCACGTTAATAACGTTTGTAAAAAACCAAACCGTTTGTAAATCCGTCAAGATTTCAACGAGATAAGAGTATTTGTGTTTGTGCTGACCACTCATCTTACATCAGCTTGTCTGTGAAGAGATGGCCGCCGGTGACGACGATGGAAACTCCGCCGTAACACATCTAGTCTTTATATACATCTATGTTCTAAACTGCAATTCCAGTCTCACTTCCTGTCACATGCCTGCGTAACAAAATGCAACAAATTTGCATAATGCCAGACTGTATGGTTTTCATTGGCTGCTCGCAAAAAGTCCTCAAACACTGTTTTTTAAGCTGAGACTGGAAGTTTGGTTGTGTTGTCAACATGTCGAGATGACACTGTTTTCAGTGCTGTCAATCCACTTTGCTGCCCTTCAAAAGGTTGAGGACTTGAGCTGGAAATAATTCAGAAAAAAACAACTCTATCATTACTGTTTGTGTCACTGTATCAAGTGCTGAGGAAGCCTTCAGAGCTGAAAGTCAGATATGGTAATAACCGCTGTAAGCAATCGACCAATCACAACAGACTGCGCCATCAGACCAATCAGAGAAGAGTAATCTTTCGGAAAGGAGGGGCTTGGAGAGACTGAATCTTTAAACTAACCATTTTCAGACATTTTAGGTGATGTGCAATGTATATTATGTGAAAAATAAAGTGTTTTTGATCTTGGGTGCATGGGAAAAACTCCAAAACAAAATTGGGAACCTTTAAAATTGGGGCAATTTAAAACTATTGCGATGACTTGGAATACAGCATTCAGGTTTAAATTGACATGAGGTCAATAAACAACAATTGCTTTCCACATCATAGAAACTATGTTAAATGCCACTTTGACAAAACGTCCGTATACAGGGGGCTAAACATAAGCGAAATCACCCCCTGTGTGAAGGATGTGACCTTTGAGATAGCTTGACGTTTTGTCAAAGTGGCCGGTGTTGGGGAAGTCAGTCAGGCATTCAGCGAGTTTCTGGGTGAATACCTGGCCATGTTGTGCAACTGACACATTGATTCAGATATGGTTGATGTCGCTTTCCTCCATGATCTGTCTTGACGCACACACATGACATGGCTGTTGACTGTGAATGTGAAAATGAGGGTTTTAAAGAGGTTCAGTTTAATGAACTCAAAGAGATTATGTAATCAACATCATTCATCACTCTCTCTCTCTATATATATATTTTTTCATCCATTGGGATTACACAGTTTTAACATAAACTAATAATAAACTAAAACTAATAAACTAAGTCACACATTAAATAGGTAAGAAGCAGGCAATATTTCTATAATAGTATTAATAAACTTGTTTAAAAACACAATTACCATATTTATCATCATCCATTTTAACTGGTTTGCTATTGGTGGATCTGATGTGAGTGACAGGTTGCCCCGCCTTCACACCAGTAAAAACATCATCAGAGAAGAGAAGAGAAGAGATGACGCTGCAAGAGCGAGGGGGAGTTACTTTGATATAAGGTTATGAGGGCACGAGAAATAAATAATGTGCCTGGATAAATCATTTATAATAAATACTGCAATATTCCATAAATAAAATTAGAATTTCATGGCTACTTTAAAGTTCGGCCTAAAGTTGACCTTTGCTGTTGCATTGTTCTGCCGCTGATATAACTCTCTCAAGGGTCGGTCATACCCACAAAGGATGGAGGCGTTTCTCATGTCATGTGTTTATACATTCACTGAACATCTATTTGAAGGCCAGACGTGTTCTTGAAGCGTCTCTTGAAGTGAGGGTGTACATGAAAAGAGTATTAAGTGGCGGTAAATACCAACAGCCACGTCAAATCGCATTTAGCAGACTTGAGGAAAACAGACTAAGAGCACTTATGCATGACAAAACCAAAACAATGAAGACACAGTTTCATTAGAATACTCAGCATGAGGTTCCTGGCACAAACTTGAATGGAATGAATTAGCGCCTTTCATCCGCCTATGTGTAAGTCATGTTTTAAACATGCCGAATTATTTCTGGGCCTGGAAAATGGGTCAATTATTAGCTTATGCTTGAGCAGCCAGCTCGCATCAGCATCAGCGCGTCTACAAACTATTTAGATGTGTCCTAAGCACAGATCCTGTTTCAGGACAATAAAAGGAGCACTGACACAGAATAACATTTTTCTTTGTGGTGGTGTTTGTTTACCTCAGCGTAATGATTCGTTCTAGTCTAATGTCCCTGTCTCCTCATGATTTGTGCCTGATCCAATATCCCTCTTTGTTATGTGTTAAAAGTACAGAGCGGTAATTGGCGCATCAAAATCATTTATTATAATAGTAATATAATTCTCATATACTGACGGAATATAAAACAAAAACTTGATTATTTCTAAAGTTATGGTCAAAGCATATTTATGTCAAATTAACATTTTTTTTTCATGAAAGTGGACCAATTATGCCCTATCACAAAGTCTTGATTTTGTTTATGGGCTCTACTTGAATAACTTAATTCTTGAACCTTTATTTTTCACATATTTGACGTTGTTGCAGCACCTCTCTTCCCAGTCTGTCTGTAACACTCGGTTTAGTTCCTGTCTCTATGAAGCCCCTCCTTCTGAAAAACACAATGTGTTCTGATTGGTCAGCTGGACCAGTTGTTGTGATTGGTCAATCGCTTGGAGAGTGTTGCAGAAATGTCACGCCCTGTACAACAACCGCAAGTTTTAACATGCTACTAACTAACTCAACCAGGCCTCACTCCATTTTTTTTTTTTTGCTTATGCCTTGCGTGGGAATTATTTAAATGAGGAATATTTTGACATTTATTCCCAGAAGAAAACTCAAGACTGCAGGAAACAGAGCGCACTGACAATATCTCACTTAGCAGTGACTTTTTGCTGTGTAGCTTTGCTGACCTTTTTCATTCTCAACCAGCAACATTACACACTAAAGAAAGTTGGAAATGAAAAAAACAACAACAACAACAACAAAAAGAATAAATAAAAGTACAGTTTAAAGTAACTTTGATGCACAGCTTGTCAAATCACAATTTTGTCCTGACAAGGCTCTGGGAAACCAGATGTTACCAGATAAAAACAGATGTTAAACTGCTACCTGAAATTGATGAATATTAAATTCAACCGCAATTTGTATAGGTGTTTAATAATTGAATATATTTGTTTAAAAGACTGATCACAGACTGCGTTTGACTCCAGTTCAAAGATGGTTATAATAAAACTACAAAGCTCCAAGAATGTTCTGACTGATGAGACGACTCAGCGCAAGAAAAAATGACTACAGCTTTGTCCAATTATATTAAACTTTCAACAAAAAAAAACAAAAAAGAAAGAAAAAAAATCACTGGCTGATTCTGTAAAATAGCCAAAAACACATTTACATTCTACCAGTATTGTGTCAGTAAGACTATTAGGTAACACTTTATTTCACAGTGTCATGTTACATGAACTTATAATAACAGTAAATTATACATAATTACATGCAACTAACCCTGAACCAAATCCTAATCCTACCCTAACCCTATAGTAAGTACATGTAGTTTCTTAGTACTTACATATATAATTACACTGTAACAAAAAAAAAAACAACGATATTTTTATTTTATTCAGCAAGAATGCATTAACCAAAAGCGACAGTGAAAACAGTATTTAGTTTCTCTGATTCTGACGTGTTTCACTGCAGGTCCAGGGAGCTCTGAAACGGCAGTGGACGCAATACAAAGCCCAGTGGGGTCAGCGTCGACGCGAGCACTGCTCCATGAGATCCACCTCCTACACCGCCACCTCCATCACCGAGGTACCCGCGTTCATGTTCCATCACGACAGCAACAGTGAACACTTGAACGGAAAACAAACAGAAGACTCAGAGCTAGTGGCCCTCAAGACGGGCGAGACGTACGCGTGAACGTTCGGAGAAAAAGACAATACTGGCAAAGGGATTCAGTCAAACTGGAGACTGGATGCTCCTTTAAAGCAACATTGACTGAATGTTTGCAAACTCCCCCATCTCAGACAGCTCTTAAGAGCTGACAACAGAGCATCCAAAGCCTGTGTTGGCACCACTGAAACTCTATTGCTCTGCTTCTGCGAGTTGAAACGCAGAAAAATACAGACACGGGCCGCAAAATATGTTATATTAAAGCTGCTAGATTCAGGCTCCCTTCACATCCTTTTCAGGAACGTGACCACAAAACAAAAAAAGATTCTTCGCAAAAAACCAAAGGATGTGTCGATTTGTGGGACACTCTCGAGCTACTGGGAAACAATCCTCTAGAGGACAGGCTACACTCATCCGTCTCTGAACAAAGGCAAAGCAAGTTCCTCTGTGCCTGAATCCTGTCACTGAAACATCAAAATATGTTACAGGGATCTGATGGTCAATTCGCATTCGAGAATAGCTTTTTATCTGTCTTGCGAGACTCCTGACTGCTTTATTGTTTTTGCAGCTGTGCTTTTTTGCCTCGACTTTGTCGCAAAAGGGGGTGTGGAGGAAAAAGATGAACAACATGGACAATTTTAGGACTGCTTGAAAGTCATTTTGATAAAACTGTGCATAGATATGCATAGACATGTATTCTGTAAACAAAAACAAAACAAAAAAGAGACCAGTGATCAATAATACACATTTCTTCGCTTGCCTTTATTGGACCACAAATTACTTGTGGGACTGACTCAATTAGGCTGAAAATAGGAAACCGCAAAATGAGAAATCAGCACATTCGATGTACTGATTAAAATTAATCAAGCTATAAATGAAAATATTTATATCTTAAACTCAATTTAAATTATATATATATATATATATATATATATATATATACCTAAATGAGTATTAGGAACACCACACTAATACTTTGTTTGACCACCTTCAGAAATCCCTTAATTCTATGTGGCATTGATTCAACAAGGTGCTGAAAGCATTCTTTAGAAATGTTGTCCCATATTGATAGGATAGCATCTTGCAGTTAATGGAGATTTGTGGGATGCACATCCAGGGCACGAAGCTCCCGTTCCACCACATCCCAAAGATGCTCTATTGGGTTGAGATCTGGTGACTGTGGGGGCCATTTTAGTACAGTGAACTCATTGTCATGTTCAAGAAACCAATTTGAAATGATTCGAGCTTTGTGACATGGTGCATTATCCTGCTGGAAGTAGCCATCAGAGGATGGGTACATGGTGGCCATAGAGGGATGGACATGGTCAGAGACAATGCTCAGGTAGGCTGTGGCATTTAACTATGCCCAAAAGGCACTAAGGGCCCTAAAGTGTGCCAAGAAAACATCCCCCACACCATTACACCACCACCAGCCTGCACAGTGGTAACAAGGCATGATGGATCCATGTTCTCATTCTGTTTACACCAAATTTGGACTCTACCACCTGAATGTCTCAACAGAAATCTAGACACATCAGACCAGGCGACATTTTTCCAGTCTTCAACTGTCCAATTTTGGTGAGCTCTTGCAAATTGTAGCCTCTTTTTCCTATTTGTAGTGGAGATGAGTGGTACCCGGTGGGGTCTTCTGCTGTTGTAGCCCATCCGCCTCAAGGTTGTGCGTGTTGTGGCTTCACAAATGCTTTGCTGCATACCTCGGTTGTAACAAGTGGTTATTTCAGTCAAAGTTGCTCTTCTATCAGCTTGAATCAGTCGGCCCATTCTCCTCTGACCTCGAGCATCAACAAGGCATTTTCACCCACAGTACTGGATGTTTTTCCCTTTTCACACCATTCTTTGTAAACCCTAGAAATGGTTGTGCATGAAAATCCTAGTAACTGAGCAGATTGTGAAATACTAAAAAACGGCCCGACTGGCACCAACAACCATGCCACGCTCAAAATCGCTTGAATCACCTTTCTTTCCCATTCTGACATTCGGTTTGGAGTTCAGGAGATTGTCCTGGCCAGGACCACACCCCTAAATGCATTGAAGCAACTGCCATGTGATTGGTTGATTAGATCATTGCATCAATGGGAAATTGAACAGGTGTTCCTAATAATCCTTTAGGTGAGTGTCTATATATATCAGCATGGATGCATTAAATTGATCAAAAATTACAGTAAAGAATTTTACATGATTACAAAATATTTATATTTCAAATAAATGCTGCTCTATTAGACTTTCAATTTATCAATGTGAATTTCACACATTTATCAAATGTGAAATCTGAAGGATCATGTGACACTGAAGAGAGGAGTGATGACGCTGAAAATTCAATTTTGCTATAACAGGAATATATATATAATTTTAAAATATACAGTATATTAAAACAGAAAACAGTTATTTTAAATTGTAATAATTTTCCACAATTTAACAGTTTATTGTATTTTTGATCTAGAAAAATGCAGCCTTGTTGACCTTAAAGAGATTGCTTTCGTAAACATTCAAAATGCCAAAATGTTGAACTGGTAATGATAAATAAATATACATATAGGTGTGAAAACGTTAATAAAATCATCTTGTTGTCATGACTGAAGAAAAACACTTTTCTGAAACAAAATGTAGAGCATCAAGCCACATATTTAAGAGTGTGTAGACTGAACAACAGTGAGGACAAGACGACGCTCTTGGCTCACATGGGATGGCGTCCGGGGAGCATGTCATGACAGGCAGCTGTCACAAGAATTCAGCGACAACTCACACAGGTACTAAATTAACATGTGCAACAACAACGAAAAGGATATTTATAAAGATACACTATGTAACTTTTTTGTTCAGTCAATACATCATCAATCGTTCTTTCAAATCGTGTTGTCTTACCCTGATTCACTAGCCTATGGTAAGCATATTGTAAGCATAACTTGTCTAAAATAACAAGTGTTACTTTAGACCTGATGGTATGGTTTAGTTGACGGCCGAGGTTAGTTGTCACAACTGGCGAGAAAGGTTGACATGGAGCAACTAAATCTCGATCATCCAAGGAATCACCCATTTTAAACAAACTCCATACAGAGTCTGCTGGCAATGAGAGAAGGTGATAGAGCTTGCAATAAAAGAAGAACCAACATTGGCATTGGCTTTTCAGAGATTGCTTTTGAGTACTTAGGAGTTCGAAATGTGGTAAAAGCAACAGGGAGGTTGTGTTTTATTTACTCAACAGGTAAGGTATTTTATTGGACAGATATATTGCAATAAGTAGCTCTCTAACTGAGTTATTGTAAAGCATTATCTATTGTGAAGGCTCATTTCATATAGTTATTGTAGCGCTGTATGTGCTGGATATTATGGGGTAAAGCTACGTCAGACTTCGACATCCGCTCCATTTCAGTTCACTTCTGTTCCGACATGCCGGCCAATCAACGAACAGAGGGCGGGCTGAGAGCCTTGACGTAGACGCTAAGCGCCGAGTTTAAGAGTGTATTTCAGGTTAGGGAAATCGAAAATGGCCGCGGATATGGATATATGTGATGCATTTCGCTCTGATGTGGATAACATTCTCGGCAAACTAAAGCCCGAACAAGAAGAGTGTTTGTTAAATATTTTGAATGAAGGTGATGTTTAAGTTGGAGAGAGAGGTGGTTGCGTTATGTGATTGGCTTACGGGTAACCAATGATTTTATACTACCGACGAAAATTTCAAATTACGCTTTTCAACTATGCCATTCCAGACACTTTCTACGAAGCAAAGCGAAGTAGCAGAGTTTGGTATTACCAAGCTAACAGTAGCGTCTTCAGCTAGTCACTTTGAGATTCTTTCCATCTAAACTGGTTATATCTCTTAAGTCTGGTAGGGAATGTTTTAATCCGCAGAAGGATTCATTCGCACAGTCCCACAGAGCCGAAGCACAACCAGACCAATGTTGTCCCGCAAAATGCATGCAGTTTTGTTTTTTAATCGCTAGAGAGCCAAAAGTTACATAGTGTACCTTTAAGTATTTACGGTATATGAATGAATTTATATATCTGATACAATGACACTCTGGAAGTCTGAAAGCTTGTCTTTTCTTCTGTATGAAATGTTTATTTGTTTTGTTACTATGGACTACAACACTGTACTTATATTTAAAAGAGATTTTAGCTGTACATAGTGTGTTGTGTTTCTATGGGGTCGAGGTGAAATTGTGACAGTTGGGTCATTTCATTGTGATTTGTGTCAGGATTTTCAGATTTGGTATTCACCATGTAATTGTTTAAGTCCAATGTGTAATTGATTTATCATGGTGCATTTACAGACAGTCATTAAGCTCGTTTGAGTTCTAAGTTTGAAGTCAAAAAGCTAAATTTCTTTGGTCATGTTTTTGAAGTGTATTGCTAATGATGGAGATGCCATCAACAGAAAAAAAACAACAATATTTTGTCAAACCCTTTGCAATCGTGTCCATTTGTACAAACTCCACATGCCTCTATATTGTACATCAAATTAAATATGTTGGCTAATATCTGATACTTAGTAGATAATTTGTGTATATTTTGACGAAGTACACATCCCAAATAATCTTTTTTCATTTAGAAAAAAAGCATAATCGCATTATACCACTCTTTCTCATATCACTGAATCTAAGCCATATATACAGTAGTGGCCAAAAGTGATGGGATATTTCTTTATAATGACGCTACAAGTTTGATTAAACCATCAATAAATTAGTAAAATATATATATATATTTTTTTTTATATTTTATGAGGGAAGAACAAAACACTAAACTCGGTTAAAGTATTTATCTGACAGAATTATTTGTCACAAAAAAGCAAACTACGGCTATGCAAAAAATTTAAAACAATAACACTGACTACAACCACCAAACCAGTTAATGGTTCATTGGTTCTCTCTTGTTTCATTGCATTATCATAAATAAACTATTGACTCCAAGCACAAATACACAATATGCCTACAAAATCTTCAACACATTCTTAATAATATTTGATTGAATGGTGAAGATGTCAATTTTCCTATGCCAGGCATCACTTTTGGCCACTACTGTAAAAATGAGAGAGCAAGGCATCTTCATTTAGCATTTCAGTTTAAAGGTTCAACATCATGGCTAATCCCATTCAGTTTAACTGACTTTAAGATGTGGTTTGATCGGCCTCGGGTGTAGAAGCACAGACGGCAGTTGAAGATATTTCTGGCCTCGGCAGTGTCACGTCTAGTAAACGTCAGCCTCTAAAGGTGCAGGATGGACAAATGTCCTTTGTTTGCTCCGAACATGTGCTCTCCTCCCTCTGCCCTTTCAGACATGACCATAAAACACCGATTTGGATAAACACACTTGGTTTTAATGGTCCCTCGTTATAAAACGCTGAGAAATCGGCCTAATGTGATTTAAAATACCTATAAATGATAATATGAGAACAAAACATACTCTTGTATCCATTACCTTTTTTAAAAGTGCCCCTATTAGGCTTTTTCAAATATTACCTTTTGTATAATCAAAAGGATGACGACTTGAGCTAGAATTAATACGGAAAAACCGACACTAACGTTCCCATTCGTCTGTATCAAGTGCTGACACAACAGACTAGCCGACTGACCAATCAGAGCAGAGTAGTCTCTCTGACAGACTGATCTCATGAAATTGCGTGTGTATGACACACCAATTCGTATTTCTATTTTTGGCATGCTATCAACACGTAT